CTCATCGTAAGCACTGCAAGGAGAAGAGATCAGGTGTTCCATGAAGTGTTTCTTGTTTCTTTTGTGCTTATGATGAAACCAACCCTGCTTGTCTTCTTTGTCTCTCAATAGAGAACCTCTGCAAATCTTCCATTTCATTGCATATTCTTTACCTTTTATGTTTTAACTTATAGGCAGAATTTCAGTGTTGACATGATTCAGTTCCTCCAGCTGTGTGTCAACATGTTGATTTTGGGGGCAAATATTGTACCTTTAGAATATTAATAGTTATCACTCTTAATATACTCCCTTTTCTTTGCCACAGTTATTGCAAAAATATAAGGAAATTGCAGAGGGTCAGTGGTTAATTTATATTTTTCTTTATTTCATAGATCGTCATGGCCTAATAATTCATTATTTGATGGTAAACCTCTTTGTATTTAGCTAAGCTGGGTCTTGCACGGCCCAATGGGTCCATTGCCAAGACCTCACTAGAAATTTTATCAGCACTGTAGAGAACCTGTCACATTTTATACTCTGCTAGCGTAGTGTTGAAGAACACAGGGTTATCTCTCTGCCATAATGGGGTATTGAAGTAGGGTATTTATGAAGGTGAAAAATTGTAAATATTTTATAAATAAAGATACCTGAAAATATTTTTGTAATGGAATGTGAATTGCGTGTAGTAGAACAGGAACAAGGATTGTCCATGCAGAGGCAATGATGACATAAAAAGAAAACATTAGATGCACAAATACTGAGGAGGTGAAAGAGAGAATGAAATAAGTGACTTTGGGAAAGTCACTGACTCTCTGGCCCTTAGTATTGTCATATATAAAACAAAGAAGTTGAAATTAACTATCTCTAAAGGCCTTTCCAGCTCTCAACTTAATGATCTTCAGACACAGATAGTCAAAGGCACTAAGAAATAAGCTGTTACAGATATAGAAATATATGTTTAATTGTTGTTTTTAATTGTTGTTTAAAGTAAAGTACTTGATAAATTATTTTAAAAACTGAAGGCCAGGGGACAGAATGCTAATAAATCATGAAAATATGCTGATTAATGGCATTTGATTTGAAATGATATTATTTTTATGTTCAGCTTGCCTTTGTAGTTTGAAATCCCTTTTGATATTTTGTAAATATTCATCATCCTCAAGCCTTTGGAATTGTGATGGCTTTTAGTAAAAAAAACTTACCAAAAGCACTATTAGAATAATAAAATCCTCATTAAAATGAGGCAAAAGTATAAGCCAATTAAGTGGCATCACAATTAAAATAAGGCAGGCATTATACAATTTCCTATTCTTGTCTCCTGTTTTTAATGGATGAGGGCGACAGCTTTTAGGTAGAGGGAGCATATTTTGCCTTTGGGGTTATACAATTAACATTAATGGTGGATATAAGAATTTGGAAAGAAAGGAGAGACTCCAGGGTCATCTAGGGCTTTCTGTCGCTTGGCTCTGGTCTCTTTCATCAGGTTATTTTGTTTCAAGCCCCATGTGTTGGGCCAGAATGACAGGTAACAGTCAGAGACATTATTGTTTTCTCTGTAGGGCTTTATTTTCCCCCCCATACTTCTGTTAAAGCCATTTCTAAGTGAGCACTGCAGGAATCAACTTCTAAGATTATTCTTTTCGACCAATCAACAAACGTTTTTTAAAATGCTTGCTACCTGCCAAGTGATGTGTGCTAAACCTGTTGGGAATACAGAGAAAGACAAACAATCCCTGCCCTTTAGGAGCTTACATTATAATGGGGAAGACAACATGTAAATAAATACATAGACAATATGTACAAGATATATGCAAGATGACCTTAGTGGGTAAGGCTCTAGAATCTGTGGACTGGGGTGGGGGGGGCAGGGTGGTGATGAGGGGGAGGGTTAGGAAAGCCTCCTGAGTCTTTGGTGTCTTGAAGGAAGTCATGAGGCAGAGAGGGAAAGAAAGAACATTCTTCCCATGGCACAGGAAACAACTAAACAGGCCAATCTAACCAAAACTGAGAGTGAGTAAAAGAGAACAACATAAAATAACATAGCAAGAGTGAAAAATCATATTGCATAGAAAAGCACAGAAAAGAAAAACACCAAAAAAACCCATATAAGCAACAGTTTTATTGTACTCACTCTTCTCTTATTTTTCAAGTTTATTTACATGTTCCTGCTTTTCTAGAATATGAACTCCTAGCTACAAATAGATTATGTCTACATCGCTGTTAGCACAATCAGAGGGTTCAGGCAATTGAACTATGAGAGCAAAAAGGTAGTAACTTCTGTCCAAATTCCTACTGAGAGCCTTAACCACTCCTACTCTGATTCTGCCTCTAGGCATCTTCTGAGAGCTGGGAGAGCTCAGGAAGCTCTTTGAACTGGCATTAACTCCACTGACCCTTCTAAATGATTGCATTGACAGAAGGTAGACCCAGAGAGTTAGGCAAGCGCTTTTTTTTTTGGTGCCCTAGCTGTACAATTCTAGAGAAATTGCAATATTTAAGTAGCTTTTCCACCGTGACGATATTTGTATCATCTAGTGTCTATGGGAACATTTTGTGTATCAATTTCCTGTCCTATCAGCTGCCTGAGAATATAGGTACTGAGACTGCACCAGAGAAGTAGATGGTGATGACTGTTTTGAGATCCTGTAGACAGATGCATCCATGAGTGCCTTCTGAGCTCTTCTCTGTTTTCTGAGGTGGGCCCATTTCAGAAGACCCTGACACTCAAATTTTCCCAGTTTTTCTACTGCCCTCTTTCTTCTGTAATTTCTCAGTAATAGCACACATATTATATGCAGATCTGACTGTGATCTTGTTTTATGGGCCCGTTTACCCATTCTCTATTGCTTTTAATCGCTCTCTAAGCTCTGGCTCCCAATGTTCTATCTTCTCCTCCTTTCTCCCCAATGACACGCACTGTCTACACTCATATAGAGACAATTGTGTCATTCAGATGTAGCATCATTTGAGATAGCATCATTTGAGACCTCTCTCATTCATCTAAAAATGCTTTTTATGTTCCATGAGGAGAACACTAAAATCCAACTTACATACTATCTTATTGGCTACCTAAGGTTCTCTCTAGGGATAAATCTACCTCATTTGAGAGTCTATAGCCTAGCAGCTTATTTTTGTGCATCTAAACCCCAAACTACCCACTCACTACTTGCATAGATTCAAAGCTTCCATGTCATCACATCACTCTTTGGTTACACATTCTTTCCTCTATCACTCTCATTCTCAAAACCATCCCTCCCTGATCTCTATTCCCTCCCTGATTCTTGACTCAATCAGTCACAAATACCCAAGGGCTGATTTTTCGTAGCTCTTCCTATTTCACCAATTACCATAGTCAGGATAACATCATTAAGGCAGCTGTAAGCCCTCTTATATTCAGGGACACAATCTACCCTATTACATCCTGTCCCCCAATTTTCATGTCATTTGGCTTATCAGACAATACTCAAATCACTTGGTTCCCAATTATCTGAGCTGATTGAGCCCACAAGCATTAATTCCCCCAATATTAGTCCCCCGACAATCACATTGTATATTGAGTGTATATAAACATTCCACTGGCACTTTCTCCTGTAATATTATTTTGTCGATGTAGAACTACACAGAACCAGTTAGTAACATTAGTTTGGATAAGCTTATCTTTATAAGTTTATACCAGTTCCTTATTTACTTTCCCTTTTAATGGTACCATATTTGAAGAATTTGAAGAAGACTTTGAAGAATATTCAAAATCATTTCCATTTTAAGTCTGTAGGAAGGTGTTATTTTTAAAAAAAAGCAGATTAAGCCTTAGGAGACAGTTTCAACACAACCCACGTATCCTCATGGCCATGAGATTTGCATTTTGAATGAGTAACTTTTTTATTCCCTTTAAACATCTGAAAGTTTGAATCTTTGGTGCCCGGAAAAGACATAGTATTTCAACAGATGTATAAGAAGTTTCCATAAAAACAAATACTGTAACAAAGGAAAGAATGAGAAGACTATCCGTTAATTACATAGGAAACATCTAAATATCTGTTTCACTTTTTTTTTGCACATATTACCTAAATTCTAGAATGCTTTACTATGTTAATGTAGATTTTAACCTAATCTTTAAAAATAAATCCCTAGAGGACAAGACACCTTCTCCTTATTTGAAAGTGTACCACATGAGGTCTTTAAACCATGTAACTTATCTATTAGGACGTAGAAAAGGTTCTTCTTCAAATAAGGGATGAACTAGATGGCCTCTGAAGTCGTCTTCATCCCTGAGAGTCTGTAATTTCATGAAATTCTTGCTTTAGTTGTGAGTTAAACTAAATGGCTGCTGAGGTAGCTTTTGATTCAGAGACTCCTTCTCCCTGCATATGATTTTCAGTAAAATTGTAATCATTTTAAAATTAAATCTTGTTGATATCTTTTTTTTCTATCACCTACATTTTCCAATGCATCTTTCTTCCCTTCCTTCCCCGGAGATCACTTTAATCAAAGGAGAGAGAGAGAGACAGAGAGACAGAGAGAGAGAGAGAGAGAGAGAGAGAGAGAGAGAGAGAGAGAGAGAGAGAGAGAGAGAGAGAGAGAGAGAGAGGCAGGGGGGAGGGGGAGAGAAAGAGAGGGAGGGGAAGGGGGAGGGAAGGAGAGGGAGAGAGGGAGGGGAGGGAGGGGGAGAGGGAAGGGGGGTCAGGCGGGGGAGGGAGAGGGAGAGAGAAAGAGAGGGAGAGGGAAAGAGGGAGGGAGAGAGGGAGGAAGAGGGAAAGAGAGGGAGAAATTGGTAGAGGAAGTTCTCTAAACATTGAAATCACAGGTCCAGTATCTATCATTGTCTTTTGTAAGTGCCATCATTCTTGGCACCACTTCTTTGTGTGATCTGGTGCTTAAGAATTCACCCCCTTTCTATAGCTATAAGAGATAATGGTAGTTACAAAATAAATGATCCATTTAACCAATTCAAAGACAAATACTCAGGTGTACCTCTTCTCCACACTCCCAACATCAGCAGTGTCAATACTCTTATCTTTCAGGTTTCTGCATGTGTTGGTCTGCAATGCTGCTGTCTATGCCCTGCCCTGGAGCCTCACAAAAGACCATCTCGAGACCACCTTCCAGGTGAATCACCTGGGACATTTTTACCTTGTCCAGCTCCTTCAGGACGTGTTGTGTCGCTCGGCCCCAGCTCGCGTCGTTGTTGTCTCTTCAGAATCTCATAGGTAGGTTTTGTTTAGTCCTTTGTTCACTTTCACCCCTATTTGAATTGACAAACACTGTGTACTTTTTGTTCCACACAGTAGAGTTTTCCTTAGCTGTGAAAAGCATGTGCGGATGCCCAGATGTTCTTCAACTTCCTTGCTTCAACCAGAGCCTTAAATTTTTGTTCTGACTATTCTCCCTTGATGCTGATTGAAATCGTGCATGACTTATTAGATACATGCATTTCCAGCGTAGTTGGGCCTGTCATGTCTTCTGCTACATGGGAATCACCTCTAGGACCCAGGTTCACTTTTGCACAATGATGAGATGAGGCATTAGATACAATTTTTAGTGGACCTTAATTTATTGATCTTCAGTTGACATTTCAATTTTTTTTCTTCCCATTTTGCCTTGGCCAGTGTTTGTAGGAATTCAGATTTTTTTGTTTGTTTGGGTTTTTTTTTTTGCTACATTTCAGGTCCCTCATTGATTTTGTTTAGAGATGGAATAATAATTGACTAAATCTGAATGGCATGACCTTTATTGATTTGTCATTCAACAACTTCAACATCCTACCAAGAAGAATGTGCAGTTATTCTAGCAGGAGAAACAATGCAATTAAATACTGCTAGATGAAATCCAATTGTTTTATAATGAGAAATTAGGGAATTCAATGCAGACATTAGCTGTGTAATTGTAGAAAGGGAAGTACTGTAGTTAGAACATTTTAGAAATCTGGCCATGCCTCTTTTGGTTAAAATTTCAATTAAAACATCAGATGGCATTTCTTTCCTATTACCATTAGGAGAATATACAGTGAACTAAAAAAGGCGCTTGAAAATTTCATCATTATTTCAACATGTTTGTTTCTTGGATTGCATAAACCCCTCTATTTGTCTAAAGTCATTCATACTGACAAAAGAGTTAACAGGTGAAGTTCAATTTAATAAATATTTGGGAAAGTTCTGTTTCACATTTTCCCAGTGGCTAAGAGCTTTTACCTTCAGTAGAGCAACTGGAGGAAAAATTGTTCCAGTTCTCTCTCTCCACCCCCCACCTCCTTCTTTCTTAAGTCCTGAAATGTTTTAGTGACCCAGAATGGAGCTTATTTTTTTAATCATGTTTCCATAAAATGTAACCCTTGGGACTTGGAAGAGAGAGACCAGCCAAGGGTTAGACTGAAACCTTTATCACTTCCAAACACAGGGGCTTAGGGTATAAATGACACATTGCAGCTAGATTTACTTTTGCCATTTAAAATTTATGACGGCTGAAATGAAAGAAGTGGGAGAAAATGCTGGTAATAATCCTCCCTCGTGTTAAAAGACATGAAACATCTAATAATTAGGTGGTAACAAAATCTGTACATCCTTATCTTTGTGAATCACACCAGGTTTGTTAGAGAAAGTAGAATAGCCTTGCTCCAAAATGAGGGAGGCTACTGTGGGGCAGGCCAGATAGCTCTGGAAATAAATCTGCCAACTCCAATCACTTGCCAGATGTGGAGGGCACAATGGGATATGTTTAAATGAGCTGTTATTTAATGGGAGATTATGTTGAATTGTCAGCTCCTTGCTTCCCTTTGTAAATTTGTATCTCAAATGGTATTTCACACATCTTTGTTCTTTTCTTAACTCTAACATATCTCTTTCTTTCCTACCTTAGAGATCCAAATCTTAATTTCTTACAGCTGAGTAACTTGGAGAATTATCCTTGGTTTACAAATTAGCTCAGCTAGTATTTGTAGAAGGAATATGTGGCCAGAAGCACCTCCATAAAATAATTGATATTAATTAACTTTTTTGATTTCTGTTTTCCCCTATTCCTGTATACCAGTGTGCTTAGCATTGCCCTGATCCATGGCCTTTGGTAATGATGTCATTATTATAATATAATCTCAGGAGTTTACATCTCTGCAATGCTTTGGGGTTTTACTTGTAAGTTAGGAAGTGTTAGTATTCTTACCCTCATTTTAAGGATGGAGGATCTGAAGCTCAGAATGTTGTGGTCACTTGTCATAGTCCTAGAGTGTTTACAGCTAAAGTACCAAGCTAAAACTTCAACTTATGATTCTTAGGCCAGAGCTTTTTGTGAGGCATTATAATTAAATGCCATCATGATATCACAAACTTGGTTGCAACTGTGCTTAGCTGATTGTCCATTTATAGCATTTGTGACATTGTTCCTAGGACAAAGTCTTCAGTAGCATCATTTTGAGTAATATTTTGACAATTGCTCAGTTAAGGTCATTAGGCTAAATATTCATTCCCTTTGGAAAAAAAAAAGTTAATCTATTAAATTCTCTCTCTCTCTCTCTCTCTCTCTTTCTCTCTCTCTGTCTCTCTCTGTCTCTGTCTCTCTCTCCCTTTCTTTCTCTCCCTTTCTCCTCCTTTCCCCTCCCCTTCCCTCTCCCCACTTCTCCAGCTATCAAGAACAAGTACATACACTGAATCTGATTCTGTGAAAGTACTTATTCAAGGACTTAAGACTCAGAGCCTTAAACCATGTTGTAAAATGGAAGTGTTGATATCTAATTACCTATATAAACCTTGGCTGAATCTCTTCGTTGGAGTCAAGACCCCCTGTTAGGGGAAAAATAAAGTCCTATGTTTGCAGAAAATATTATACTCGATTGCCCCAAGGCAAAATATTTATTAGCCTTCCCAAGTTGTTCACTATATTTTAGTGACTTCTCAGGAATCAGTGCAATGAATTGAGTTTCTGAATATCTTAAGGACTTTGTATTTCAATGAGAAGCTTACTTCCTTGTGAAAAATTTTTAGATAACAAAATAGAATAGAAAATAGCCCTGGCTGAAAATTCGCGTGACAGCTAGCTGCAGCTGTGTTAAGAAACACACACACGCACGCGCGCGCGCACACACACACACACACACACACACACAGAATTTGGAGACAAATTTAGCACTGTCACTTGAATAGACTTGCTTTTGTTCACCTGGGATCCAACCCAGTTATTTATTCTGGTGCTTAGAAGGCTATGATGACAAAAGGAATGTTGTACATAAGACAAATCGAAATAAGATAGTATCTTGTCTAAAATCAGATTTAAACAGTTACTCAAGAATCAGAGGCCTTTGCCTGACCCTCTGGGTTACAGGCTAGAATTATTGAAATTCGATAGGCATTTTTTAAAATCAGGTCAAGAGATGCAGATACCATAAAGTTCTTGCTTAGTTGCTCCATCAAAGTTAACCATACTGTTTTTGGAGAAGCCTGATTTATCTTGCAGACATGGAAAAGCTTCTTCTCCTCCTTTTTTTCATCCTACTCCAGCTTAAATTCTAACAGGAAGCAGAAAGGGGTGGGAGTATTCTACATGAGCGGCATAGTAGAGAAAATCCTGGAGTGCAGCAGCCTCTAGAGGAATTAGGACATGTCAGAACTAGGCACCTCCTTCAGTGGAAGTCTTGGCAGCGTCTATCCAATCAGAGAGAGGTGTACTTCTGAGGGCTAGATTCTAGGGCTGAAATGATTTTCCATGATGGAGAATCTGTAATCATACAAGAGCAAATATCAGAGGCCATGAAGCCAGTCTCTTGATCCTAAGTTTGGAATATTTTCCACTATACCACATTACACCTTATTTGAAGGTTGTCATACATATTGATATTTGAAGGTAAAGGGTCATAGTATATGGAGCTGGAAAGACATCATCTAGTCCAGTGATATCTGTTTTTTAGTTGAGGAAATGGTTAAGAGTATAAGTGACTTACCCAAAGTTACAGTAGTAAGAGATCAGTAGGTCATAAATAAGAGAACTGCTCATAAGATAAGAGGAATGAACTTGAGCATACTGATAGCTAGAGAGGCATTTGTCAGCTTGTACTTCTATTACCTTCAGCTTAGGATCAATTGGACGAGGCCTAGATCGGGTGAATCATGTTTTGTTATGGCATTTAACTTTTATTTCCATATCAGGGAGCAGGAAGGGTTTTTATCATCTTCACAGAATTTACATATCACTGTCCTATTTACCCAATAAAGTGAAGGGTTTAAGTTGTGCTTAGAGTGCAAAGTAATGAAATTTGTCTGAAGTCAGAAGAGATTAGGAAATGCATTGCCCTGTGGAGAACTTGGAGACTTATAAAATAATGGTTGATTTTGCAATTTTGTGTTTGGATCGCCTTAGCATTAACCCCTTAATGCAAAGCCAATAGTTAAGTTGGAAGACTGCAAAACATTATTTGTTATAGTCTCAGAACCCTTTACTAGCACTATAGAAATCTAGTTTTGATCCCTAGTTCTTGCCACTAACTTTGTGACTTTGGTTGAATCACTTACTGTGGCTGCCAGGTTATTTCATAGCATAGGAGATTTCTTGAACTGGGTTCTATAAAATGCTTGTTTTGATCTTCAAATAAACTTACTCTTCATCTGCCATAATTTGGCATCTTCATCTCCAAAAATGCCTGTGTCCCAGGAAAATAATATTTTATCATATTCATTTTATCTTTTGTTTTGGATTTCAGGAACAATGCTCTATAAAACACTTGGGCATAAAGTGAAAATGTTCTTACTGTGCTATGCAAAGGCAAATTTAATTTTATGAAGCCAAATTGGAAGGAGCTCTTACTTAACAGAGCCTAGACCATCCCAGAAATTCCTTTTGTTAGTGTAAATTTCTTTAAGACCTTCTGTACTTTGTTGTTATTAAAAGGGGGGGATGGAGAAAAGAAACAAACAGCTGGTGTTTAATGACTCTGTCAGACCCAATTATAAAACATCAACTAGTTACTTTGATTTGTGTCCCATCCTGCCATGGGGGTACTTAAGAACATTATACTCTGCCAGAACTCATTTGGGCTTTGTTTACATTTATCTTTTAAATGCATAAGACTATTGATGGCAAGTTACCAAGGGTCTAACCCCTTTATAATCATTAATTTTTAATCTCCAAAAGAGTCTACAAGGCAGCAAGACTCATCTCTATTTACTTGGATGCTCAAACTAAAATATACAGTGCTGTAGTCCTGGATAAAATAATCCAAAGTAACCCAGTCAAAGGTTGGGAATGTGATATCTTTCTCCTTCCAAAACTGCACTCATTTAATATTCTTTTTCATTTAATTTAATTATCCTTGAACTTCTTGTTCGTTGTTTGAAAAAAAATTCCCCTTGACATATTAAAGATGGTTATATATACAAATGATCAGTTATGAGGAATCTGTCAGATCTTTGGATGTGATTGGGTTGGGTTTTTCGTTTAAATTATTTTAGGGGAGATTCAGGTTTGGGCTTTTTTTTTATCATAGAGTAATAATGGTTCCAATCCCTTCACAACATTACAATTTACAAAGTTTATCTCACAATTCTGTGAGCTTATTGTATAATGCTGTGGAAAGAATCCCAGGTTCAAAGTTGGAGGACCCAAGTTTGAATCTAGACTGATACTTTCTGTCTTTGGGACCTTGGGCTAATCATGTAATTTTTCTAGGCCTCTGTTTTTGGGCCTCATCATCTGATGATCTTTAAGGTCTCTTCTGGCTCTAAATCCTAGTTTCTCTGAAAAGAAGGCATGGCTAGTAGTGCTATTTCATTTTTAAGAGGAGGCAAATGAACCTCAGAGAGATGAATTGATTTGCTCTTAATAGAGTAGCTGGTAAATGAAAAAATTAGGACTACAGCCTATGTCTTTTGCAGGAGTGTGCTAGTAAATATTTAACAACCAACTATCTGAAAATTCACAACACACTTTTAAATTTAATTGGTATTATTAACATTTTCTCATTGATTTTCTTAATTCTAGACAATCAACTATACAATAAATCAAGTCCTTTAGTGTTTGCTAATTTCTAAAATATAAATGCTCATAATGAAAATTCAGCAGTGTCTCCCTCGCCACCACCTTCCCCAAGCCAGGCTGAGCTTCTACCAGCAGACCCTTGGTTTTGTCTCTAACTTCTTCCCATATCATGGTTTGGTGTAATCTTTTAGCTCTTCCTGTTACACCATGATACTTTTCCATCCATCTGAATAATTTTTATTTCATTTTAATTTTTATGATATGTTTTCAGACACAATAAGGCTTTTCTTTAAAAAAAAAAGTTCCCTTCCCTTAAAGTACATTTCCCCAAAAGAATTAAATACAACCATCTGATCTCATGATTGAGACTGGGAACATACGTATCACTTTGACTTTTGTAGTTGACTAGTCCATACATGTATTTTAACACGTGTTTTAAATAGCCTATGCTGCTTCTATCAAAATAAAATCATAAGGAAGTCAGTCTTGTTTGTTGTTTAAGTTATCTTTCCTGTTTTTTAGGTTTACTGATATTAATGATTCCTCAGGCAAACTTGATTTGAGCCTGCTTTCTCCATCTAAGGAAGAGTACTGGGCCATGCTGGCATACAACCGTTCCAAGCTCTGCAATATACTATTCTCTAATGAGCTTCACTGCCGCTTGTCTCCCCATGGAGTCACGTCTAATGCTGTGCATCCTGGAAATATGATGTACTCATCCATTCATCACAACTGGTGGGTGTATACCCTGCTCTTTACCTTGGCCCGGCCTTTCACCAAATCCATGGTAAGTGACCAATTTGTGTAGTGCCATACATCATCAGTTTTAACATCATGGTCTGTGAAGCAAGAGAAATCCTGATGGGTGTATTTTCATTGACCTTTTGCATCTCTTAATGATAAGCATAACTTTAATAGTAATCAAACTGTCAGGTATATGACTGCAATATGATAGGATCTGGGAACATATTTAGATATATTTCATTTTAAACCTATCATTCTAAGGCCTTGTTAAAATGTTGGCTTGCAATATATGGGCTTTAAATTTGGGAGAAGTATAGCTGGACATTTTGATGGAAATTATATAATATTCCTCTTTAATTGATATATAGCTTACTCAAACATGCTACAAATCTGATTTGATGCACAGGACACTTGATAACTTTGTGTTTTGTGTTGAGATAAAAGGCATAGACTTTCTTTGACTGTCAAAATCTCAAAATATTTGCTTTTCTAAATTCTTCTTTTAAGGGGCATAAACCTTTCCTAGAGAATTCTTCATTGGCCAGAAAGGTATTTTGCTTAATAGGCGTGCCATACATGAATCGTTTGACTGAATAGTACGTGTTCAGCAATATTCACAGATAGGTTGTACATAGATTGTTGCAGATAATTGACAATAGAGTAATACAGACATTTTTCCCTTTAACATTTTATTGAGATGTTTTGCATTCCTAGAGAAATATGTAACATTCAGGTATTTGTTTATAATTGCACAGAGCACATGTTTTTATCAACTGGTGGAACTGACTCTTTTGTGAGTTTCACAACTAAATGTACCTTGAGTAATTTTTCCTGACCATTTTTCCTCTTATTAGTAATAGAAAGAAAATCATTGCATGTTACTGTTTTCTTGGCACATACACTGTCTTGCTATGAGGTGAATCCTCCTTTTTTAAAAGCTGGATTTATGGACAATATATCTTGTGTATGCTTAGCAGAATTAAAAGATATACAGATATGGCCAGTTATTTTTTAAGTCTCATTTTCTAGGCTGTTTTAAGTTCTAAAAAATGGCAGAGGTAGCCTAAATATTGTAATTTTCACATGAATGAAGTTTGAGGGTTACCATAATCAAGGAAGGGATTTTAAAAATCATCTTTGTTGATTTTGATTGCCAGCATTTAAACATAGGTAGAACACTCTATTCTTAGTATCATAATATATTTCAGTTGTTCTGTATAATATGTTGCTATTGCATGTTTGGGGTAAATGATAAAAACGTATGTTAAAATTCCCTCTGCTATCATCTTCCTACATAGTAATCATATGCTGGAGCAACTTTCTTATAATATCTTAACTATAATAGCATTTTATATCCTGAATAACATAATTGTTGCAAAGGTGCATAGATTAAATTGGTGAGGTAACATTGGGAGAGGAGTAAGAAAGTTGATAAATCCTTTACCAGCCCTTAAAAAACCCTGCTTCTTCAATATATTCACTAGAATAGTCTGATAATAGAATAAATAGCGTTGCCAACCACATTTAAGCCTCAATTTTTAAGTGATCTTTTACTAAAGGTATAATAAGGGGATAGAAGCAGTAAAAAAAAAAATGAATAAACATCAAAAAACCAACAGCAGACAAAACAAACAAAACAAACAAACACAAAAACTCTCTGTCCAACACATTAACTAAAATTTGGGAAGCAGCAGACAAATATGTTGTTTTGAGAATTTCTGGATAATGAAGCTTTAGAACGAACAATCCATATTTAAATGAGAGAAGCATTTGCTTCATTAGCAGTGGGGGCATAGGAATGAATGAACACTACTTAAATAGATTGTATGGTTTCATCAGCATCGTAAGACTATTCAGGGGGTAGTCTGTGCCCATTCATTCTTTCTTCCATTCAGAAAGCACCTAGTATGTGTCAGGTACTACTCTGCTAGGCACTGTAGATACAAAGGAAAAGGAAAAAAACCATCTAATCATAATCTGTTTTCCTCCTACTTTTGTAAATATTTTGATTGTCGTATTTTTGGAGTGTACTGTAATGATAACAGAGTGTTTCTTTTTTTTTTTCTCTTTGAGATATATTTAGAAGTGAATATTTTAATATTTGGCTGCAAAGGTAATGTTCAACATTTTCCATCATTTTGTTATAAGAAATAGGATACCAAATGTTTGTGTCATGTTTTTACCATCACTACATAGCCCCTTTTCATTGTGTGCTTGTGTTTGGGTTCTCTTTCTTTAAGTTTATGCCATTTCACGTTTTTAATAAAAGGTAGAATTCCTACTCATAAATACAGTTCCTTCACTTGTGATGAGTGACAGACCTAACAGCAATGCCAGCAGCCCAAAAGGGTGGATTGGCATTAGGTAATGATCTGTGGCCCAGCACAAACTGTAGCCTTGGATTCACTTTCCCTTGACATGAGTGCTGCCACACTCCTTCCATTCCATTCCTAAGGTCAAGGGAATGCTAAACAGGATAGAATCCTGTGCTTGGGAACCTCGCCTCCGGTTATCAGGCTCAGCTCCCTCTCTTAAGTATTAAACAGCAGTATTCTAATATCAACCTTTTTTTTAATTTGCTGTGACTTGCTGTGACGAGGGTGATTTTAGTTACAGTAATTAGGTCACCCTTCATGGAGTCAGGCTATTTTAAGTGCCTCTTTAAGGAGTATTGTTGCAGATCAGTAATTTTACAATTGGATGTTCTCGTGCAACTTTATTAAATGTAATCTGTCTTTTAAATGTTGCTCTTTTACAGTTATATATTTCTAATTGTTGCTGTAAATGCATTATCACTTTGAAATTAATTACTTTTTCCATTGTGGCCTCCTGCAGTATAATAATCACTAATAAGAAACTTGTATGAATTAGTTCTAAATGTAGCGACCCCTACTGACTAATCAGTATTTTGGTTGACCTCCTGCACTTGTTATTAGTGAACATGATGACTCCAGCAGATACATTGCTGGAGTCAATATTTAAATATTTGTTGAATTTTCTTCCTTTTGATTAAAAATAGTATAATATGGACATTGTTATTTGGTTTGGAAGTTCCTTATTTTGTTGAATGTCCATTTCCTCCCCTGAAAGATTTTGCTCAGTTTCGCTGGGTAGTTGATCCTTGGTTGTAATCCAAGCCCCTTTGCCTTATGGAATATCATACTCCATGTCCTCTGCTCATTTAATGTAGAAGCTTCAAGGTGCTGCATAATCCTTACTGTAGTTCCATGATATTTAAATTATTTCTTTCTGGCTGTTTTGCAGTATTTTTCTTTGACCTGGTAATTTTGCAATTTGGTTACAATATTCATTGGCATTTTCAATTTGGGATCTCTTTCAGGAGGTAATCAATAGATTCATTCGATGACTATTTTACCCTTTGGTTCTAGGACCTCAGGGCAGTTTTTCTTGATGATTTCCTGAAAGATGCTATCCAGGCTCTTTTTTTGCATCATGGTTTTTAGGTAAACCAATAATTTTTAAATTGTATCTCCTGGATCTGTTTTCCAGGTCAGTGGTTTTGCCAGTGAGGCATTTTATGTTTTCTGTTTTTTTCATTCTTTTGTTTCTGTTTGACTGTTTCTTGATCTCTCATAGAATCATTAGCTTCTACTTGCCCAATTCTAATGTTTAACAAATTGTTTTCTTCTTTTAGATTTTGTACCTCTTTTCCCATTCGGCCCATTTTAATTTTTAAGGAGTTCTCCTCGGTGAATTTTTGTGCCTCCTTTTCCATTTGGCCAATTCTACTTTTTAAGGAGTTATTTTCTTCAGGGTATTTTTTTTTTTCCATTTGGCCAATTGTATTTTTTAGGGACTTGGTTTTCTGCAGTTAATTTTTGTCCTTCCTTTTCCAAGCTATTGACTCTCTCTTGCATACCTCTCATTTCTTTTCCCAACTTTTCTTCTTGCTCTCTTATTTGACTTTCAAAATCCTTATTGAGCTCTTCTAAGAAGGCTTTTTGGGCTGGAGACCAGCTTATATTCCCCTTTGAGGTTTTAGATGTGGGTATATTGACAATGTGGTCCTTTTCTGAATTTATGCCTTGATCTTTCCTGTCTCTGTTATAAGAAGCTATGGTCATTGTCCATTTCTGCTTTTATGCTCATGGCATTTGCCTATTTCCTGACTTTTAATAAAAGTTGAGCTCTCCTGCTGGAGAGCAGGGAGCATTGACCCAAGCTTCTTGTGCTGGGGGGCTCCGGACCTGGTCACTGGCTTTGTGTGCTGGGGCCTCAGATGCTGGCAGTTGTAGGCTATAGGGCTCTGGCAGCTTACCTGGTGTGGGCTGGGGTCAGCAACCCTGGAGCTCTCGGGGTGGGGGTGGGCTGTCTGGTGCCTGGGGTATTCCTGCTCACTCACGCCTTGCACTTCTTTCTTTGACTCCTGCTCACCCGAGCCTTGCGCTCCTTTTTTTTTTTTGGCTGCTGGAGGAAGTCTGTCAGCCTGGAGCTTTGCCTCCTGGAGTTGAACTTCCTGGAATTGTGCTGAGGCACCAGGAGATTTGGCTGCTGGAGGACAACTTCACACGTGGTGGTTTTCTCAGCTGGTGTCTACTGATTCCCCTGCCTGTACTGAGGTACTCAGGGGGTCCTGGTGTTAGGGCTTGCCTGCTCCGCTACACTGGGGCTAAGGATGTCCCCCTGGTATGCTGAGGTGGGGCTTTCCGCCAGGTTGCCCCCAAAGCAAGGGGGGCCCTTCCCATTAATCCCCCAAGCTTCCTGGGTTGCAAGACTGCTGCACCCTGTCTTTCTGCTGGCTCAGCCATTCTGAGGGTTTTTCCTAGGGCAGTATTTTCTGGCCTTTCAGAGGTCAGTAAGGGAGGGTGAGAGTAACTTACTTCTTACTCCACCATCTTGGCTCCCAGAAGCAGAAGAAGTCTTCAACTGCCTTTTAACATTATTTTGTTTAGAAAATTATACAGAAGTGATTTGCATTTTGACTATAGAAAAGAACTCAGAGGTCATTATATCCCAAATGCTATCAAAAGCACAGATTTTCTTCTACAATATTCTGACATTTTAAGAAGCCTCTGCTTGAAT